AGTCCCGTTGCGACATTTGGTTGGGGGTTCGCGGAACTATTGTTTTTTTTGGAACTGCGACTTTTCAACCTTTGAAACGATCATAACTTTGTTCAAAGTCATTTATTTGGGAAGCTGAACACGGTATGACAAACTACAGGATTCAAGCTTTCTAAAAAGTACCCGAACGTTCCTGAAAAGTCAGCAGTTCAAAAATTAGTCCCGTTGCTACATTTTAGGGGGGTTCGCGGAACTATTTTTCTGGAACCGCGACTTTTCAACCTTTAAACGATCATAACTTTGTTCAAAGTCATTTATTTGGGAAGCTGAACACGGTATGACAAACTACAGGATTCAAGCTTTCTAAAAAGTACCCGAACGTTCCTGAAAAGTCAGCAGTTCAAAAATTAGTCCCGTTGCTACTTTTTTGGAGGGGCATTCTTCAAGCCATTTTCTTGAAAACGCGGTTTTTTTTAGGTTTTTTTAGGTTTCACTGGCCGTAACCTCCAGGGAAAGCAATTTCGTGTTGAACATAGGATGTGTAGAAAGCTTCGAGCATGCGCTTGCACTGACATCCCTTGCCTTGGTGCGCGCCACGCCTCGGGCGCCCTTCTAATTCGCTGATTCATTTGAAAGCTCATTTAGAGGGAAGCGTGGTTTATAGATGCTCTAGTATCAGTCATCTTACGAAAACGTAACTATGCTGGCTATTATCCGATATTACCAAGAATCCCACTGCCGGCCACCGAGAGAGTACGACCTTCCTCCCTACAACCTAAACCAAATATGACCCTCTCCCCGTTGGTACATGTAGCAACATAGGGTTGACAGTGGTAGGGGGTCGTATTCATAGAAGTAAACGTCACAATGCGTGGTATGACGAGAATGTAACGCAGATGCGAACAAAGCCTAGGCGCAGGCTCACAGCATTAAACGATTAGAATGAGACGTTTGCTCTCGCGACAGTAGGTGAGGATATAACTTTCGAGTGCTTCTCCAACTATTAACCACAAACGAGTGCATGGCGCACCTCAGAGCAGAAGAGTCTACTGCAGAAGTGTCCATATTTGACTGTTCACGTACACAAATATGCTCTCGAGGGAAAAAAATGTTTTCAAACTGGACCTGATTTAGTAAAAGAGTGATCACTTGGGTTGCACTGACTGCATGCTGACAAGAAAATCTGAAAAGAATATTTGCCTGTCGGCAACTTTCTGACAGGGGTTCAAAAATGTCATGGTATCATTATTCCCCACAAAATTTAGTCTAAAGAAAGCTGTGAGTGTTTGAGTGTTGAAAGCTTGTGTTTTCAGGAGCGCAGCTGAAAAAATTCATGAAAAAACGGTCCACAGGCTAGGTATTCGTGAGAAAGCTTTAACCTTCTAGTTCTCTCCAAAAGGAACAAGAATTGCGATAAAGTGAATCTAAAGAAATCTATATTCCTTGGAAAGCCAGAAACCCGCTTGCGCACAGAAGACGATGTAACGGGGTGATTTTCTTAAGAAATGAAACCGTACAAAAGCTTGTGTATATTTTCGGTTTCAAATGAAGAAGCGCGCATTTTTGTGAATTCCCAATTCTCTACCCCATAACTAACAAATTTTGAAGATGTAACACAAAGATGGTAATTTTCTGAAACTAGCAGTCTCCTAGACTACAATTGCTTCG